AAGGAAATGGATGGACGAGTCGAGTTAGACTGGGATTGAAAGGTTTCCTCGTGAGGAGAAACAGAACAAAACATCGATGTCTTGGTCGACCTTTATTACGGTGTTGTTGACCAACTTTGCGGAAGGATCGGCGAGGATAATGTTCAGTCTTAACTGAAAATTCGCCTGTGAAAATAACATCAGTAAAAGTATCACTAAATGCTCGCTTTCGCTCTTTCTCTGTACTTTGCACCGCTCGCGTCCTCCAGCCAAGTTTCTGCCGCATTCGCCGAACAGTTTTCGCTGATACTTCAATGTTAAATCTCACTAAAAGTATTCGTGTAAATACAAGAGCCGAAAGTTCGTCTTTTGCTTGCATTTTTTCATCGAGGGTGTTAAAAGTGCTTGGCAAGCTGGTTTACTTCTTCCTTTCCTCGGGCAAACACACAGATTGTCAGTTGCTTTGTATCGTTTTGGAAAAAGGAATTACCCGGAAAAAGACTTACTATAAACTGGCCTTGAAGTTACAGTACCATCCCGTATTTTTCGAGTAACTGGTCTCATATTTTCACCACGAAAATTTAAGTTTCCTGTCCGTATTCTCGCACAAAGGCGACAGTTTTAACCCATTTTATGAAATGCAAATGAGTGTCGCTAATCTTGTAAACGAGTTCTTGGAAACCTCATTCCTCTGAACGAGTTCCAAGAACTCTTACCGATGGAACGGTAACGGAACGGGAACAGCACAGCACAGAACAGATACAGAACGGGAATGGAACGGATACAGAACGGATACGGAACGGATACGGAACGGATACAGAACGGGAACGGGAACGCGTGTGGAACGGAAACAGAACTTGTTCGGTCAAGCGTTCCCTGTTAGGTTTCTTCTGATCGGTACTGTACATGTATGGAAAAAAGTGTTTATAAATTTAATATTTGAAGTGTACAATCCTGGTTATAACGTTGGTTACTATAAATTACTGTTAAAAACTATTAGATTGCCCAGGGTTGATTAGCTTTTTCTCTTATTTTAATTTTCACACTTTCATCTGTCATTAGGAGGAGTTTGCAGATTGCATCGAAGCCATGCAAGAAAAGGATGTCATGATTATTAAGGTGTTACATTTTTCATTTTGACGTTATCACTGCACCGTCCTTTTTGCATTGTTTATTGAGTTTGGATATGTCATACATTCACACACATAGTTATTGTTCAGTACTGTACTGTACATGTATCTGTCACATAGTACATAACATTTGAATGGGTGAAGAGAGGCTGAGCTGGAACTACAACAAGTATCAGAGTGGTTTTTAATTGAGTGCTGTAAAACCAAAACCAAGCCAGCTACAGTACTAGCAATTAGACTACTCAGCCAATCTTAAACTGTTAGTAGTAAAACTAAAACCAAAATAATTGCCTGATTACTTTTGACACTCAATTGAAAACCACTCTAATGGTAACTTGCTGTTTCTCAGCTTTGTGTTTGTTTCACTCTGAGGGAAGTTCAGAATCATACTGTAACATATTTTTTGACATCCACAATCTTGTTGTAGATCACAGATCAGTACAAGAGTTGCTGTTGTGCCAAAGTTCCTTTACAGGACACCTTGGGGGCATCACTAGTGAGTTACATGTACATGTATCTTCAGTTCATTGAGAGAAGGTTACAGTGGCTGCTTTGGATGAATGTTTCCAGCATTCTATCATATATCCCATTTTCTGATTTTCTATGCCACTCACTATTTTGTTTTACGCTGTAGATAGTGAGTAGAATAGCAGTGTGCAAACTGGCGGTTCCTTCTTTGCATTTTTGAAGTGTCTGTGAAAGGATTTACACCTGCTGCCTTGATCTTCACAACCGTAACAAACAAGCAAGTTTACCCCGTTAGTCCTGTAACATTAAGGACCCATCAAGCACATTCAGTTGTCTGTACATGTACATGTAACAGGTGTTACGTGTTCAGGCCTTTAATTAGTACCCTGTCACATGACAGAAGTCTCGAGCTCATAGTCTAATTGTTAAATTAAAACATCCAGGAACATGTGGGAGAGCTCAAAAAAACTGTGTAAATACTTGCATGTTCCCACAGCATTTCTCCTTCTCCAAAACTTCCATATCTTGTAAACACCAAAAACGTTTTCAATTTCTTACATTGCAACTTATGTTAGTGATGTTCTGTACCTGTAGTTGTAATTTGGAAGATAAAATAATGAACAATTCCCTTTATGTTTGTTTATATAGCATCTAAAGACAAAATGCTCCAGATGGGCTCTACAGTATTTGAGAGAACAGGTACGTACATGTAAAACACCTTTGCAATGGATACTTAGGTTAACTTTGTCTCTTGTTGATATGTATAAACCAGTTTGATTTTATTAAATGCATTGCCTCTTAGTATTGATATGAGACTAAGCTCAATCCAGGGTGTAGTGCTGAGCCATTAGACCACCCNCCCCCCCCCCAACAACACACACACTTAAATAACAAGTACAGTACATGTACAGTATGTTAAATAATTTTAATAAAACATTTTTTGTCAACGGATACAGATGCTGCTCCTGGAAATCATGCTTCTTTATTATAAAGAGTTTGTTGTTCCAGCCAAGTCCTTGCTGGAGTTGGCAAAGCTATTTCAGGTACTGAGAAACAGAGCCAGAACTGAAAGATATTTGGATTAAGTTGTTTCATTTTATAGTAAAATATTATTAATAGCTTCAGACTGTTGTGACAAACTGGATTTGATTTTTCTGTGTCAGAGTACAGAGCATAGAAATGATGCTAATTTTCCTGAGAGTGGTGTAAAATGTTCAGAAACCGTTCTTTTTATGGTAAAGCAACTACAGTGTTAGGGTATGCATTATCCACAAATAAAAGAGCATATTTCCTCACAAGACATGGGTACACATGTATAAAACAGACATAATGCTTAATTACCTGAGTAATGTTCTGGCATGGCAATAATTAGAGACAAGAGCACTTAAGAAAGAGCAAAAAATATTTCCCTTGAAGTACAACTGCAGTATACAATATGCAGGGGGATTGGCTTTTTTTTTGTCTCATTCTTCTCTTGTCACTTTGTGATGCGATTTACAGTACTATTGATAATTTTCCAGGGAAATAAAATTCTTAAAATTTTCTTTGTAAATTGGCACATGATTCCTTGAAGAAGCTCAAAGTACTTAAAGAATAAGTTACATGTAGTGAGAGTAAGGCATTACCGATATAGACGAATAAACTATTGACTGATTGTGTTTTGCACAATTTAGAGCCAGGGGTTTGGAATGAAGCAGGTCAACAGACATCTGTTTGAAGGACAAGCTGAGGTTCTGCTTCCTCATATCAGGTACCTCTGTAAAGAAAACCTCAGGGACCTGCATGATGCTTTGCTTACACAGTGATCTAAGTAATAGGGGTTTTCTGGAAATACCAGTGACTGATTTGAGCCATATAGAAATAAATATAGCTACATGTACTTAACTAAACCTAATAACCTTCAGTTGATAATATATCTGTACATGTAGAATCATGCTTATATTATTCCATGAAGCAGTTAGAGTTGGGTAATAATTCAGTGTTACTCTCTGACATCATAGATTTTGCAATGTTGCCTGATCTGAGACTTTTGGTGGGAACAGTTTGATTATTAGATGTTATGTGCCCTGAAAGTACTTGTAGCCAATGAGAGAGCATACTGCAGGGCTTGAAAAAAATGTGAATTCCAGCTTGCCCGGGTTTGGACAATATTATGATGTTGCCTTGGAGAAGTCTTAGTCAGCGTTTGAAAAAAACTTATTCAGCAATGAATTCCAGGCAAGTTGGCAGACAACATGCCTGGGCCCTTACCCATTGGGCAAGTGAGAATGGAAAGTTACTTGCCTGGCAGGAAAATCTTCTTGTCCCAGATGACTGGAT